TGAAGTCCCTTTTTGAACCTGGATGTGCCATCTGCCTCCACCACCTCCTGTGGTAATGAATTCCGTAAGTTAACTATGCATTGCAGAAAAAAATACTTCCTCTTGTTAGTTTTAAACTCGTCACCTACTAATTTCAGGAGGTGCCCCTCAGTTCTAGCTGTGTTTGCTAATGGGAGTTCACTTGAGCAGGAAATTACTGAGACAAGGCCTTGGGGTGGTGTCCTGGAACATGGCATTTTGGTGTCATTTTCACACAGGGAAGAGATCATGGAAGCTGCATTTTTTTAAACCAGAGTGCAGCAGGGAAGGACCAAGAGCGCAGATTGTGCTAGTGAAGAAGCCAGTGGGATAACGTCTTCATGCGTAAAAATCCCAGCAAATGTAGCAGATATTCTGTCCATGGCGCATCTTGTAGATTCAGGGCTAGGCTTCATTCTTGGGCAGAAGAGCTGTCTGGGAAAAGCCGTTCTCTCCCAAGAGATGCTGGACCAAAGAAACCAAAGGCAATTTTTCCACGTGCTTTGAGCTTGTTCTTTTTTCTTTAACCAGAGACTGAGTCAACTAGATGCCAGGCAAAGGCCAGGAAAAGGATGTTTGCTATCTCAAGATGGTTCCTGCTGCTGCACAGTAGCTGTTCTATCTGTTCCAGCCTCTTTCTTCTGCTTCTTCCAGTGATCAAGTGATTCAGAAGTTCTAGCGCCTGGCTCAGAAGTTGGAAATCCCTGGGGTTGTTGACAAGACGCTTTTATTTGGCAGGGAGGAAAGAAGCTTCCATGAGCCAGATCCTGTGAGGCGCTGAGAATCTGCAACTCTTGTTGGTCTCCGCAAGAGTGTCCTGGTTGACAGCATCTCTCAGGATAAGGCCTTTAGTAAGGAAGAGTTGAGGACTCTGTTGAGCCTCTCCGCATTCCTTACAAAGTGCTGCTGCTTTCTCAGCCGTGAAAGGACTGAGATGTCAAGGTAATCCATCCAGATCAGGGCTTGTGCGGCAGAAGAAAAGTGCCCTCTCCACACTCCTTAGTTTGGTCTACCCAGAGAGAGCTCCTCTGGGATGCCCAGCTGTCTGTGGGCGTGCATCCTTCCCATTTAGTAAAAGTGGATAGTCTTGACAGACATTCCCCATGGTTGGACAGGCTCTTCTGTCTCCTGTTTGCAGCAGATGCATTTGGGGGATTGTTAGTGCTTGGTGGAAGACACCAGATTGACAGCCTTGGCAGCTGTAGTCCTCAGCATATAACAGTGGTTCTAAATCTTTTTAGACACCAGGCAACCCTCATTAGACTCAAGGCACCCTTCCAAAAATGCCAGCTCAGCTTTTGCTCATTTCTTCACGGCGGAAAATTAAAATAGCAATTCTTCACTTGCAAAGAGCTCAGAAAATGCACAGCAGGGCAGAATATTTTTGACACTCTAGATCCCTATTTGAGATCTCTGGTTTTATCTTGTGAATCGTGTAGGTGTCTGCACACCTAACAGTGCCACTGGTGTGTGGCACCCCAGAGCACCTGTAAAAAGGATCTTCTGTCACCCTAATTGAGAATCATTGGTATACAGGCTCATAAGTTTCAAGGCCAGAAGGGACCATGAGGTCGCTTGGTCAGCCCCTTTTATAACAGCCTAGGGAATGTCATACTGTACCTGGCTCTGTCACCTGTGTTTGGCTGAGGAATATCTTCTTCATCACAGAGCAGGTATGGTAGGAGTAACTGTCCTGCAGGTTGCGCCCTCCATGTTCTAGCCTTGCAAAGATGCCTTAGGCTTCAGCCATGGTAGATAGCACGCAAGGGAGTCTTCTGCCCATCCTTGTGACAGTGACAAGACAAAGGTGCTAACTGGACTTTGGACTCTTGTTCCCAAAGGACCTGGACTAAGACTCGGCAATGTCCTTTCATGTAGTCAGGCAGCCCATCACTGATTACCTGGATGGTGTTTGAACTAGCAATCTGGAGATGGAGAGCTTTGTATCTCCTTCTCAGTCTCCTGAGCACCTCCTATGAGGCATTTTTTTTTTTTTTTTTT